AGCAGACAGTGATAACATCTACCAGTTGCTTCCTCTCAATGTCTCCATTTTATGAGCTAATTTGGAAGGGGCTAAAATCCCTGGCCCCCCCCCCCCCACTCCCCGGCATCCCTGCTTACTTCTCTCCATCCCTCCATTTTGTAACCTCTTGCTTGGTTAAAGGTTTTTGAGAAGGTGAATGGGACAATCAGAATAAGCTGTCATATTTCTTCAGGAAATGAACCAACATATCACAAAGAGGACAGGCTCTTTCATGTCAAAGGATATCCAGATGAAAATGGAATATTTAGAACAGATCAGGGTTGACTATAAGCGTGATTAAATTCTATGAATTAAGTTCATACAGTTCTCTTTCTCTTTCTATTATTTTATTGTTTGTTGATATGGACACATGATTAATCAATAATCTAAATCTTGTTCTGTTATGGATGGGCCTAAGAAAGCAGTTAGCCAACTGTGCATTTTGGATTTCTTTTTTTTAATGAACCAAGATTGGGAAACCCTGCCATCTGTACTGGAGCAAAATGTCTGTTGGTTTGCAGAAATCCATACCATAATCTTTTTGCAATTATTTAGCCCCTCCTGGCACATTGTTTCATCTTAGTTACTCTATTGCTATCCTCAAACATTCCATGTTTATAACAGAATAAGAGCATAATAACTCCTTTGCTTGCCAAAATTATTTTTATGTTTATAGGGCAGCCACCAGGCAGGAGATGAAGTTGCTTCCCCATTATTGATAGCTGCTGCTATTATTTTATTTTGTTTTTTTGAGCTTGCTTGAATTTTTTTTTTACAACTACAGTATTAAAACTGATCTACCCCAAGGGCTGGGCCTGCATAGCACATGGAACCACTAAGTAGCTAACCATATTATGCGAACAACCTGTCTATTTAGTTTATTATTTGGCGTGCTATGTAAATCCAGAAAACCTGCTTATGTAGTCATTAATAAGTTAAGAACATACAAACTTGTTGCACAAACACAATCAACAATTTTAAAAATTCTGAACAGTTCAGCAACATACCTACAGTTTCCAGAGAAAGAAAATAAAAGGAAGCGAGAAGGTCCCTAAGGTGACTTCAGCAATGTTCAGGAAGAGGTCCACATCATGGACAAGGGTATGCTCCTTCACCACCACTGACCAAGCTATGGTGGTATTCAGCAAAGATTCCTCTTAATTCTCTATGGCAGTGTTTCTCAACCTTGGCAACATTTAAGACATGTGGACTTCAACTCCCAGAATTCTCCAGCCAGCATGCTGGCTGGGGAATTCTGGGAGTT